GCCGCGGGGGGGGGGGGGGGGGGGGGGGGGGGGGGGGGGGGGGGGGGGGGGCGGTACCTGCTTGTGCATCTCAATGTTCAGACCGTAGGACATCTCGTAGTACTGCGTGGGGGGAGACAGAGAGAGAGAGAGACATGGAGGGGGGCCACAGATGGGGGGCTAGACACAGAGGGATGGGGGAAGCAGAGAAGGGAGAAAGCGGGAGGGCAGGAGAGAGAAAGGGGGACACGGAGGGAGAAGGCAGTGGGAGAGGGGGTGGCTGGGAGGGCTCTAGGGCCCGGGGCCCCGCCTCGCTCCCCCGGTTTCTGGAATAATTAGAGACACTGTCCAACACACACACACACACACACACACACACACACACACACACACACACACACACATTCCAGGGCTAATCTTTTATCTTTATGTGTCTTGTCTGCGGGTGGCCCCAGACTCCAGGGAAGTTTGCCTTCCTGGGTATAAATGAGCATAAACAAAGCCTGCTGGTCTGGCTCTGGGGCCAGGAGGTCCCCCACCCCCCACCCAGTGCCCCTGATCTGACCCTTTCCCCTCCCCTGCTCTAAACCTTCCTATGGCTCCCTGTTACCTGGGGTGGGGCAGAGGCCAGGTTCGTTTCCAGGCCTTGGTGTAGTTTCCCTGTCTCTGCCAAGCAGGCTCCTATATGTTCTTCAAGACCCCAGCTGCGATGCCCCATTCTCCACTTCAGGTGGTGGCCCCCCTCTGCAGTCCCCCAGCCCCTCTCTCTCTCTGCCTCAGCCCCATCCCTCAGGGGCCAGGGGGTCAGTGTCTGGCTCTGTCTCCCTCACAGCCTGGGAGAGCTGGGCTCTGGGCTGCACCGAGGCAGAAATCACCACCCGGTGGGGATGAAATCACACATGATTCTGGCGGTGTGCATGGGCACGGTCTCAAATGTCAGGCCAGAGCATGCAATGCTCCCCCCACCAACCTCAAAGGCCGTCAGCCTCCTGCCTCCGTCAGTCCCCAGGAGCCCTCATCCCCCAGGCTGGGCGCGGAGGGGTTAAGCGCTGGGATGCCAAGGCCTCCTGGGGCGGGGAGGGATTCAGCTGCACCCCCACGTTCCTGGCCTTCACAGCCCTGCCTCCTCTGCTGCCAAGGACAGCCGGGGACCTGGCAGGCCCAGGCTGCAACCCGGGGGTTTGGCACCTCGGCCACCGCCTGGGCGGGCAGCCAGGACAGTGAGGTGGCCTCGGGCTGGCTGAATGGAGAGCGGGGCCTGAACCCTCGCACACCCCAGAGGACGTGGCCGGGGTGGCCAGGGGGTGCGGCCAGCAGCTGCCGGTGGCGGAGGAGCGTCTGGGGTCCCCCGCCTGCCCGCCTGGGGTGGCTTACCATCACATAATGACGCTGCATCTCCGATTTCTCGCTGGCCAGCTTGTCACATTCGAGCTTCAGGCTGAAAACAAAGGAGGGAGAAGGGGTGGGGGCTGGGCCAAGGTCCCCCAGTTGTGCAGGGGAGGCCAGACTTGGGGGTGGGGGACAGATTTGTTCTCCTCGGTGGGGAGGGGGCAGGGGGAGCGTCAGGCCCCCCAACTGCAAAGTGAGGACTGAGGAACCAGCCTTGCGGCTCTGGTCCTGCATAAAGCGATGGAAATAAAGTCAGACCAAACACCCTAAGACTGGGTCAGCCAAGGATGCGAAGAACCTTCTCCCGGCCCCAAACCCGATGAGGTCAGTACTTTTGTTTTACAGATGATGCAATGGAAGCCCAGAAAGGCTGAGGAACTGGCTCAAGGTCACACAGCCAGAAAGCTGGCTTCCAAGGCCACAATCCCAGTCACTGGGGAAAACTCTCTAGCCGTGAAGGAAGCAGTAGAAACTGCGAGGGGGCTGAGGAGAGGGTGTGGCTTTCAGGGCTCTGGGTCCGACTCACCAAGGCCGCTTCAAGGGGGCCCAGACCCTCTCGGGGGCCTTGATTTCACCGGGGGCAGAAGTTCCACTGTTAGGTACTAGGGATAGTGGCTCACTGGCCTCTCTCAGGCTCCCCCAGCAAGGATGAGCTGAGGGCATTTCTCAAAGTCCCTCATGAGGGCGTCAGGTAGAAAGCTGACTGCACAGACTCAGGCTAGATGGACTGGGTTCAAAGTTCAGCCCTGCTACTTCAGATGTGTGACTCTGGGCAAATGCCTCTACCTCTCTGGGCCACGATCTCCACTGCTGTTAAGTTCGAACGTCCCGGGCGTGGGTTGGTGAGGACGTACATTACAACAAGGAACATTTTTTAGAACAGGGCCTGGCATAGAGTAAGCACTCAATAAATGCTTGTTGATCTTACAGTCACCTCAGGACCCTGGGCTTTGATTCCTCTAGACCGGCCATGACTCGTACCCCGCAGCTCAGAGGTAAGCAGCAGCCGGTGTCATGGCGGCCCCGAGGTTCTTTTCTCTCTCGTTTTCTTTAAAAATGTGCATTCGTTGACACAGTTAGAAAGGAAATCGGGCAGTTTCAACCCCAACTCTGGCTTTCTGGCCCTTGTGGAGGGCCTGGCGGATCCAGGGTGTGCTAACATGGTGGGACCCCTCATTGTATAAAGAAGCCCAGATCCAGCGGATGGAGACCCCAGAGCTTATCAGAGAGGGGCCCAGCTTACACCAGATCCCATGGCACCCGTCAGCAATGTGATCCTCGGCCTCTGGGACCGGGTCGGCCCCAGTGCTCCCTGAGGGGGTGGGGGCATGGGCCAGGCAGGTGGGGGGGAGCCCCCTGGAGGGGCTCAGGAAGGCCAGGCCTGTCGGGCCAAGCTTCTTACCCTGCACAGCGCAGGCCAAGAACACAGTTCCTGGGGCCCTGCCCTTCTACTGCCTGTACCTCTGTTTCCCCGTCTTCAAAACAGGCACAATAATAGAGTGATTGAACAAGAGGGTGTGTTTGGTACTTAGTACACGGGAAGCTGGGAAGTAACCCCCAAAATGTGAGGTGTTTGTAAACATGTCTATATCTACATATACCTTGGTACTCCTCTTTCTTCCTGGAGAAAACCCAGGCTCCACAAGGGGCATATTTATGTGGGTCTACTGAGGTCCAAGAGGGGTCTAATGTCCCACTGGGACTCACAACCAAGGAACCCCTTCTGATTCCCAGGCCAACTCCCCGCCATGGAAGACCCTTGAGAATCTGCATTCTTCAACCCAGAGATTGGGTGCCAATCTCAGTTCTGCCCCGTTCTGCTGTGTGTCCCCAGGAAATCCTTAACCTCTCTGGGCTTAAGCTTCCGTAGGGGTAATAGAATGATAATAATAGCTCCTTCCTTTTAGATTCCAGCACCAGGCAGGTCCTTTTAGAAATGTCAGAAAATTAAATCTGGGAGACTGTTGCATGCCAGGCACCCTCCCCCCAAAACCAGGTAGTGGAAGCTGTAACAGGCTACAGGAATTTTTCTTTGGCGGGTAGGGAGATGGTCCCAGGTGAGTTGCTGAGAGCTCTTTTATCCAGTGGGGCTGGGGGTAGGGCTGAGGAAAGGGGCTTTGCAGCCATACAGCGGAGCCTTCGGGCAAACTATTTAACTTCCTGTGCTTCTGTTTTCTCATCTGCGAAATGGGCTGTTCCAACGACTAAACAGGTTTACAGAACAGTCCTGCCACGTAAGAGGCCACTCTGCACCTGTATTTCCCAAGCGCATGTGTGCGGCAGTGGCCACAGCCTCCCCTCCAGCCCCTGGCCATCTGCACACGGGCTCCCCCTTCTCCCGGGGCTGGGACCCCCGCCCCCCAGCTCACCTGTGGTACTGAGCCTGCAGAAGCTGAAACTCGTCTTTGATGCGGTCGCAGGAGTCGGAGGTGGTGAATTTGAGTTGCTGGGGTAGGTGTGAGGAGCCCTGTGGGGAGGGGGCGCCGGGTAAGGGCCAGGCAGCTGCCCCCCTCCCCTCACCCCGCTCCCCGGAGGCCCGAGGCTGTAGCCGCGCAGCTGCAGTGCCCCCCCACCCGTCCCACTTCCCGGGCCGTGTTTACAGCCCCTGGTGAGGCCCCCGCCCTCGCTTCCTGCCCCTGCCTCTCCCGGGAGAAGACCAGCGGGGTGGGTGCGCCCGAGGCCGCCTCATCCCCGCCACCCCCGGGCTGTGGGGGTGCATTTGCAGGCCCGCCCTTGATGAGGGGCAGGGCGCGCCCTCTACCGCCCCTCCAAAGCGCCGGAAGGGGGGGTGTCATCCGACCGCCCCAACTGCCCGTGGCAGCAAGGAGAAGGCGTCCTAGAGTCTCCCTCCCCAAGTTGGGGGAGAGCGAGGCCTCCCCGCAAAGTCCCTTTGGGGGAGGGGCCTCTCTCAGCACCCGAAATCTTACGGGGGACCCCCACCCTAGATACCCAACATCAACACCCTTACTCCCGGCCAAGCCCTTCAGGGAGGGGTGCGCCTCGATTTTCCCCCACTCCCAGGCTCGAGGCCAAGGCCGCCCGAGGCCCTGCCTGGGGGGTCGCAGGGTTCAGGGATTTGGGGGGCCCCGGGCCAGGAGTTGGAGGGGATTCGGCCTGGGAGCAAGGGGATGTTCCGGGCCCGGAAGCTGGTAGGGGGGCCGGGAGGCAGGGGGGGTGGGGGAGCCCAGGAGCTGGCGGCGGTGGGGGCGGGGGATTAGCGCTGGGCCCGGAGCTGGAGGGGAACCCGGCCCAGGAGTTGGGGGGAGGAGCGGAGCAGGGCCTGGGGGGATGGCCCCGCCAAGAACTGGGGTTGGGGCGCAGGGCCGGGACCTGGGGGGAATGGCCCGCCTAGGAAATGGGGGTGCTGAGCTCGGACGCGGCTGGGGGGGGGAAGCACAGGACGCGGGGTTGGGGGGGGTGAAGCCGGACCTGGGTGGGGAATGGCCCGGCAGGGAACTGAGGGTGCCGGGCGCGGACCAGACTTGGAGGGGCGCAGGGCCTCGACCTGGGTGGGTAATGGCCCTGCCGGGAACTGGGGGTGCGGGGCGCGGGCCTGGGGGAGCGCAGGGCCTGAACCTGGAGGGGGGCGCAGGACGCGGTGGGGGGCTCCGGGCCGGCGGGCCCCGCTTACCGAATGCCTGCTTTGTGGAAACATCATGTCAGTCGCGGCGGGGGGCGCGGACTGCGCCCCGGCTGTGCGCCCGGCTCGGGCGGCTCAGGGCGCCGGGCGGCCGCGCCTTTGTCCCGGTGCCGATCGGCAGCTCCCGGGGCCGCCGCCGCCGCCTCGCGCGCCGGGCCTCGCCCGCTTCCTGCGCCCCCTCCCCGCGCGCCGGGCCCCGGCGCGCCCCGGGCCCCGCTTCCTGCGCGCCCGGCGCCCGTCCCCGCCTCCCGCCGCCCGGCCGCCGCTCCTATTGTCTAATGGCGGCGACGCCGGCGGTGCCGCGGCCTGGGTGCGCGGAGGCTCGGCTCCACCTGCTGCCGCCGCCGCCGCCGCCGCCCGGGCCCGTGCGCGCCGCCGAGGGGGGGGCGCGCGCCCGGGGAGGCCTGCGGATCCCCACCCAGCCCGCCTCCCCCGGGCCGGCCGGCCGGCGCGGTGACCTTGGGCACGGCGCGCCCCCGCCCCGCGCGCCCGCCGCCGCCCCTCCCGGCCGGCGGGCCTTGGCGCCTGCCTGGGCCTCGGTTTCCCCATCCCTCAAACAGGGGGGCCCGTGGCCCCCATCTAAACGGCCGGCTCTGTCATGGCGCTATCTGGACGCGTGCCAGGGACATGCTCTGTAACCTCGACTCCCGGCTCTTCTCTCCCTGAGGCCCGTTCCCTCTCCTGTTGAAGGACAGCAGTCCAACCGCCGACTGCCCGAGAGCCCTTCCTTCAACACCAGCGCTTTATTGAGCGCCTACTGTGTGCCAGGGCCTGTTACAGGACGTCGGGGGGTGGTGCAAAGTCCCCACTCTGGGGGAGGGGACAGACTCACAGGAGCCAAACCACTGGCGGGTCAGGCGGTGGAAATGGCTACGGAGAACATACAGCAGGGGCAGGAGGTGCTTTTTGAACAGCGGCAGGACCCAGAGGGCCTCCTTGGCCACAGCGAGGACCTTGGCGGCGATCGCGGAGCCGAGAGAGGCCGGGCGGTGGTGCTTGCTCAAGAAGGCAGGCACGGCAAGCTCAAAGGCTCTTAGGCAGCACCTGGGGTGCCGAGGCACGGCTGGAAATCAGGGCAGGGCCCTCAGCTACGGGCATCAGCAAGGGGTGCTGCTCCCAGGAGGGCCTGGGCTCGAGTAAATGATCTGCTGAAAATCACTAGTCATTTTTGAACAGGGGGCCTGGCAGTTTTTTGTTATGCCTTGGGCCCTGCAAATTCTGTAGCTGGTGATGGGGACAGGGCAGATGGAGCAGGGCCTGGTGGGCCTCAGAGGACCTGGACTCTTATGCAGAGGAAGGTGGGAGCCCTGGAGGGCTGTGAGCAGAGTAGGGGGGGCCTGACTCTAGTTTCAGTAGGATTTCTTGCTGCCCTGTAAAGGGCAGGCCTCCAATAAGCTGTAATGCTGGAAAGTGCTAAGTATACTGTTTCTTTCTTTTTTAATATACAGTTAATCATTGCCAGGTACGCAGCTTGCCCCGCATCCTCAGGGACTGTAACTTCTTTGGGCCTTGGGTTTTCCCATCTGTAAAATGGAGAGTTAGGACCCCAGTCACTTTTCCTGGGCAGATGAAGGGTGGGGTGTGCTGCTGTGAGATGGATAAGCACAATGGAAGACCCTCCCCCGACCCCACCACCCAAAAAAAGCCCTTCAAAAGAATGATACTTGAATGCAATATTTAAAAAAATAACACCAAAAAATAAATTCATGACATGCAAAATACCAACCTGTGACATTAACTAGTGGGGCTGGGAAGAGTTGTGACAATGCGGGGTCCCCCTACCCTGACCCTGAAAGGGAAATGGAACCAACTTTGGGAAAGCTCTGAGGTATTTCTTTTGGGTTCTGGAGTGGGCAGACCCCACAAATCATGCAGGGCTTTTTGTTCCAAAACGATTAGGAATTTTGAGGTGGTGGCCACAGAGCGTTAAACCAAGTGGGGGCCCCTTTCTAGAGCATGGGGCCCCATAGGATTGTACAAGTCACAGGCCTGTGAAACCAGCCCTGCTCCCCATCTCCTCCCACTCCGTGGGGACTAGACAGCCTTTCTCCTGGGAGGCCACCTGCATCTGACCCTCATTTAGGCCGGCACCTCCCAGTGTCAGGGCACTTGGTGGCCAAAGTCTCCCATTTGGCAGCCCCCCTTGGGTCTTGGACACAGACACCCCCTGCACGGTGGGCTCAGGGCATATAGAGAAGCCCAGAGTGCGACCAAACCAGGAATAATACTAAACCAGCCAAGCTGTCTATATTTTCACTATGTGCCAGGCCCTGCCTGAAGCATGTTAACCCATTTGGCCAAAATCACGTAGCTGGTAGGAGGCAGAGCTAGGACGCCAGAGCAGCCACTTGGGCCTTTGAATGCTATGCAAAACTGCCTCTCCAGATGGGGCATGAAGGCAGAGCATGGCGGGACCTTGGCTGGAGAGGGCCCGGAGTCCAGAGGGATGCAGGACCCTGCATTCTGGACCGAGGAGCTCGGGTTTTACCTGGAGGGCACTAGGGAGCCCGGGAGGCTTTAGGGCAGGGTCTCTCTGTCAGCCTCTGCACTCTTGACATTCCTCTGTGGGGCCATCTGGGGCACTGTGGGGGCTTGAGCAGCCTCTGTAACCCCCCACCTACCCAATTCCAGGAGCACCTCCGTGCCCAGTCTTGATAAGCAGAAACATGTGCAGACACTACTGAGTGTCCCTGGGGGGCAAAATTGCCACCAGCTGGGAAGTCCTGGTTTAGAGCAGTGAGATCCCGCCAGGGCCTGTGGTGGTGGGTTCTCGCTGGTTGTCATAGGGGAGGAGGGCACGGGGGGAGGCCCGGAGATCCAGGGGTAGGGGGATGTCCAGGAGAGGGGTAGCTGCCACCCCACACCCCTCAGCTACCGCATCCCCAACTCCTGGGGTCTACATCCTGGTCTTTCATCCACTTGGGGTTCTCAGGGCCACTCTGGAGCCAGGTTGGGGTGGGGATCTGTCTCATGTGTCCAACTGTCTGAGACCAGCCTTGCAGCCTGCTTACAAATGAGCGCTGGGCCCCACGGCCTCTGGGGCAGAGTCGGGCGCTGGCTGGCGCGTGATGGATGGGGCTGCATGGCCATTAATCAGAGGCAGGGAGGAAGCAGGTGGCCGCCGTGCGGCCCGGGGACCTCCCTCTGGTGGGGCTGGGGCCTCAGCTGTCCTGCTATGAGTTCAAGCCTCTGGCCTGCCGTAACTGGCTGGTGACCTGGGGCAGTGTGAGGTCACTCTGCACACTACACCCCCACCCCCATAAATGCAGCTACTATTCATTCACGACCTCAGTAAATATTTCCTGCACCATGTGCCAAGCATGACTCTAAATGGGGTTTTGCAGTAACAACTAAGGCGGACAAAACTCTTGGTCTTGTGGATAGGACAGGCTTTGACAACCTGCCTCAGGTCCCCCCTTAGTCCGTTGCCCCCCAGGGCCCCCACTTCGCACGCCGGCCATGTATGACTTGCCCCATCCCCTCCCGTCCCTCGCCTCATCTCTCTCCCCCTCAGTCACTCTGCTTCAGCCTCACAGCCTCCTCCTTGCTGTTCCTCCCACAGGCCAGTCGGTCCTGCCCCAGGGCCTTTGCAGGGGCTGTTCCCTCTGCCTGGGACACATCTCCAAATCTGAGTTTGGCTAATTCCTTTGTCTCCTTCCAGTCTTGGCTTCAACGTCACGTCCTCAATGAGGCCTGTCGTGACTCCCCTATTAATTCTGGCAGGACTAAGACTAGGATGAGTGGCTTTTCAAGTGAGGCGCTTTCTGTAGGCGGGACATTTAAGGGGGTAGGCAGAAATCTCAGTCAACATGATAAACACTACTTTAAGGCAATCTGTGTTGTTATTGTGGTCAATACACACAGAATGTACCATGAGAGACATTGAATACATTCACAGTGTTGTGCATCCACCACCTCTGTCCAGTTCCAGAAGGTTCCATTCCATCCCCCAAAAAGGAAACCCTTTCCCCATGAGCAGTCACTCCCTATCCCCTGCCCCAGCCCCCAACACCCACAGACCCATGTTCTGTCTATGGATTCGCCTGTTCCGGATGTGTCACACAAATGGGCTTGCACACCATGTAGCGTGTGTGTGTGGTGTCTCACTGAGCCCCTGTGTTCAGGACCCATCCACGGTGTGACATGTGTCTGGTGTCACTTCTTTTCGTGGCTGTGTGGTGCCATGCGTGGGTGGCCCACACTGCGCTTACCCATCCATCTGTTGATGGATACTTGGGTGTTTTTACCTTGACCATCGTGGGTCACATTACTCTGGACATCTGTACACAAGAACGTTTTCATTTTCATTTCTCTTGGACACATAACCCGGAAGTGGAATTGCTGGGTCATATGGCAATTCTGGGTTTAATTTTTGAGGAGCCACTGAACTGTTTCCACAGTGGCTGCCCCACTTTTACCTTCCTCACCTGCAGGACTTGAGGGTTCCATCTTCTCCACATCCTGGCTGACGCTTCTTATGGTAATTTTTAAAAATATAATAGCTGTTCGAGTGGGTGTGAGGTGGTACGTCATCGTCATTCTGATGTGCGTAATGCAATATTTGCACAAATCAGAGTTAATGGGAAAATGTCCACAATGAACAAAATGTCAAAATTTTAGATAAAAATGGGACCCAACCCTGCCCTTGACAGGCACCTCACCAGCTCCCCTCCTCCCAGCCCTGGGGCAGCTGCCCCTGGCCCCCAGCTCAACCCTCCCCACACCTGGACCGGGTTCAACATTTTCTTTGCTCTGTAGGAGTCATGGCGCTCTGACATAGGATGCATTTTAGGTGCTGATTGGGTGGGTTTTCTCCACCTCTGGAAGGTCAGTTCCAGGAAGCAGCGGTTTGTGCCTGCCTTCGGCACTGCTGGACCCCCAGCCCCAGGACCCATGCCTAGCTCAGAGCTGACTAAATGGGGAATGGGGGAGTGGATGGATGGATGACTGAACAAATTAGTGGTAAGGATCTGAGGGTTTGGGGATGAATTGAATGAGATAGGCCCCCAAGAGCACTTAGCCACGTGGCGGGCACATGAAATTCCAAATTCAACGCTATGGCCTCTGGCTGGTGAGGCTCTGAGCATGACATGCCACAAACAGCAGTTCTTCCCCCACCAGACCCTTGGGAACAAACCCACCAACCCAAATCCTTCTTTATTGTATCAC